ATGCACAGAAAACCGTACCAGACAATCAATGGAAAACGGTTGGAAAAGGCAGAAAGCCCAAGCCAGGGCCAGCGCCAGGTGAACCCTTGGTCAATAAGGGCGAGGCGACCAGCCGCAAAAAAAAGAAGAGGGTGAGAAAAAAGAAGAGTCTCGCCAAATTAATAATTAAGCCAGCTGAAGGCAAAACCTATGCAGAGGTGCTGGGAACGATACGCGGTAAGCTCCAACCCGAGAAGACGGAGACCGTAATTCGATCTGTTCGGAAAACCCGCGAAGGCGGCGTGCTCATCGAAATGGAGCGCTGTGGCAACCACACAGCATTTAAGGAAAATGTGTGCACTGCCATTGGCCAGCTTGGAGACGCCCGTATTCTCACTAGACGTTTACGTCTAGAAGTTCTGGGCATGGACTGCCTAACCACGGCCCCAGAAGTGGAGAACGCAATACGCGGGGAGTTAGGAGACAAGATGAATGGCCAACTTCGCGTCTCTCTCCTCGCTGTAAACTCGCGAGAACAAAGAATGGCCGTGGTGGAAATCGATGAACTGCCAGGCCGGACTCTTATTGAAAAGGGGAAGCTGCGAGTAGGTTGGATTATCTGCCGCGTCCGAGAGCGCGCGGATGTCCAAAGGTGTTTCCGCTGTCTGGGGTATGGCCACAAAAAGGCGGCATGCAAAGGCCCAGACAGAAGCAGTTCATGCTGGAAATGTGGTCAGCAGGGCCACATAGCCTCTGCGTGTAAAGAAAGCCCAAGCTGCTACCTGTGCTCGGCAGGAGATGGACAGAAAAATTCCCATCACCTGCCCGGGTCGGGAGCGTGCAAGGCCTTCAGGGATGCCCTTGCTGAGGCTAAGACAAAGCTTGGGAGAATATGATTAAATTTATACAAGGCAATATGAACAGGAGTAGGGTAGCTGATGACCTGCTGGACCAATTGGTTCTTGAACAAAGAGCAGACGCTGTCATCATCAGTGAACCCTATAGAACAAAAGAAACCTGGCATGTTGACCAATCAGGCTCGGCCGCGATATGGATTGCTAACCCCAACCATCGCGCAGAGAGCAGCGGGGTAGGACGCTGCTACGTCTGGGTTAAAATGGCGCAAATCACTGTGGTGAGCTGCTACCTGTCTCCAAACGACACAGTCCCTGTCTTCAGGGGAAAGCTCGAAGACCTTGAAGACGAATTGCGCGATATAACCGGCCACATAATTGTTGCTGGAGATTTCAACGCAAGAGGCGTGGAATGGGGCATGCCCCAAACAAACACCAGGGGAAGACTGGTCCTTGAAATGGCAGCCCGCATTGGCCTGACCATCCTCAACACCGGAACGACCCCTACATATCGAAGGCCAGGTTTTGGATACTCTATCCCCGACATAACCCTGGTCTCAGAAAGCCTTCTCCGAAGGGCTGACGGATGGAGAGTGATGGAAGACCTGAGTGGTAGCGACCACAACTACATCACCTTCCAAGTCACTGACATCACGCGAGGGCAAACACGTAGTATCCCTCGCAGGAAACCAGGATGGAACCCGTCTAGGGTCGATGTTCGCAAGTTCGATACGTCACTCTTAGCAGATTCCCAAGGCTTTTCACCCACAACGGGAGAGATCCACAACAGGGAGTCTTGTACTAAGCTGGTCGAAGAAACTATGCGCTGCATTCACCGGGCATGCAAGGCCTCAATGCCACAGAGGAGAGCATGGTCAGGTAAAAAGCAGGTATACTGGTGGAATGACCGAATTGCTGAGCTGCGAAGGGCCTGCCATAGAATGCGGAGACTCGCAACGCGCGCTCGTGGTAGACCCGAGGCGCTGACCAGAGCAGCAGCCTACAAAAGCGCAAAGAAAGCACTTGGGGCCGAGATACAGAAGAGCAAACGGAACTGCTGGAAAGCGCTATGCGACGAAGTGGATCGCGATCCCTGGGGCCAGGGATACAAAATAGTGATGAAAAAGTTCCATACATCATCACAGGCGATGGATGAGGCCCGAGTTAAGAATATAGTGGATGCGCTATTTCCCACACACCCACTAAGAGCCGACACAGTGTTCGTCGAGGAGCAAGCCGAGGCACCACTGTTTTCGACAGACGAGCTGAAGCTAGCCCTGCGAAGCATGAAAGCCGGCAAGGCTCCAGGCCCAGATGGCATACCAGCGGAGGCAATCAGGTTAGCAGCGGAAACGAGCCCTGATCTTCTGCTTAACATGTACAACAGCTGCCTTAGGGCCCGGGTTTTCCCAAGCCAATGGAAGAAGGCGAGACTGGTGCTTATACCCAAGGGCAAAGGGGACCCAAACTCTCCTTCATCCTTCCGGCCACTCTGCATGCTAGACACAGCAGGCAAAATGATGGAGAGTCTGCTCAAAATACGCTTGACGTCAGCCATAGAAAGCGAGGGAGGCCTTTCACCCCGACAACATGGCTTCAGGAAGGGACACTCAACTATAGGAGCAATTGGCGAAGTAGTCGAGGCGGTACATAAGGCCGAAGAAGCCTGCCACCAGGCGCGGCCAATAGTGCTGCTAGTCACACTGGACGTCAAGAACGCCTTCAACTCGGCAAGATGGGACGATATGCTGGAGGCCTTGGAACGGTCATTCAAGGTTCCAACATACTTGCTAGACATGATCCGGGACTACCTCAGAGACCGTTGGCTTTTGTACGACACAACACAAGGTCAGAGAAAGAGACGTATAACCGGCGGAGCGGCACAGGGGTCTGTACTTGGCCCGGACCTCTGGAACGCCACGTATGACAGTCTGTTGCGCACGGAAATGCCGGAGAGCGCCTTCCTTGTCGCCTTCGCGGACGACGTGGCAGCCGTCATAACAGCAAGAAATGTCCAGCTAGCACAGCTCAAGCTAAACCAGGTCATGCGCAACGTCAGTGGATGGATGAGCGATCACGGTCTGCAATTGGCTACAGCCAAAACGGAGATCGTGCTCCTCACCAGGAAACGGATCCCAACAATTATAAATATAATGGTCGGACCTCAACCCGTGACGACTTCTAGGTCTACAAAATACCTAGGGGTGAAGCTTGACAGCAAACTCACATTCTGGGAACACATCCATGGAGTATGTGAAAAAGCTGCGCAGAGCACGGCGGCTCTAAGCCGGCTGATGGCAAACGTGGGCGGCCCGAAGCCATGCCGCAGGAAGCTTCTGATGACAGCGGTTCAATCGGTGCTCCTGTACGGGGCAGAAATATGGGCTGACGCATTGAAAGTCAAAAAATACCGGGTTCAAATGTCTTCGGTACAGCGCAGAGGGGCACTACGCATTGCTTCTGCATACCGTACAGTGTCCGCGGACGCGGTTCTAGTTATTTCTGGCGTCATGCCAATTGAGCTACTTGCTTACGAGCGAAAAGAGATTTACAATCTCAGTGCCGAGATAGGTCGAGCAGCTGCCGCGGCAAGGGCGCGCGAGCAACTGATCCAGCAGTGGCAACAAAACTGGAACGCGAGCACAAAAGGTCGATGGACACACTCCCTGATAGCCGACCTTCAAACATGGCTGAACAGACCACATGGGGAAGTCGATTTCTACCTGACGCAATTCCTCTCCGGTCATGGTTACTTCCGAGAATATCTTCATAGAATGGGAAGGGTGGACTCACCGTTCTGTCACTACTGTGGAAACGTCGAAGATAACGTGTACCACACATTCTTCACCTGCGAACACTTCATGATTTCGCGCCGAATGTTGGAAGAAAGACACGGAGACATTACTCCGGACAACATAGTTGGGATAATGATTTCCAGCGCAGAAAAGTGGGAAGCAGTTGCGAGATACGTGAAATTCGTACTCCGCTGCAAACGAGAGGACGGTTGTCTACTGAGGACACCCGAATGAAACGCCCCTACAAAAGAGCAGCCCCAAGGCTCTAACAGCGCGCTCCTGCATCTGAAGACATGCAGAATTGCGGTGCCAGATGCGGGATTCTTGCGCGGGCGGTGGGAGTTTGGGTTTTAGTGGGTAGCCCAACACGCTTCGGTGGGAGTCCCACACTCGGGGAAGGTAGTATAGAGACTAGCGCCCCCGGCCAGTGCATAAAGCATTTCCCTCTCCTACT